GGGTTCGTCACATTTCGGAGTAGAAAGATCGATGAAGAGTTGATATTATGACTGCTCACTGATACTTTTACTTAGTTACTAGTTCAACAATACTTGCAACATCAAAAGTGTTTTTTCAAACAAAATGAGTTACTTTTTATTTTAGGAAACCATGTATAAAAATCTTTCATTAATGAATATGTTGTTGTTGGTTTTAATGGCTACAAAGAAAAATGAATTCATATTTATTAAAAATCAATAAAATGTAATCTTACAGAAAATGTAGCTAATCCAACACTTGCACCTTTGCCATCAAGAGATGAAACTTCTTCTTGTGTAACAATAAAATAAGAAAATGATTTACATAATGATACTGGTGATTGAATTGATGAATCTGGTACTTTTGAAAGATTTTCAAAATATCCTGTTTTTGAATTATAACTACTTGATGATGCTCGAATCCATTGACAGACAGGTATCTATAAAATTATTTCACATGATATGAAATAAATCATATGATTTTCATACATCAGTAATAGAAGGTAATTGTTCAATAGCATTTGGCCAAAGAACTGAAACATCAATATGTCCACCTGAAAATGTTATCGTTGGAAAATATCGTTCTTTATTTTCTTCAAAATGATATCTTAAAAATCCAATAATAAATACTTTTATATATCTTTGTTTCAAAAATTTAACCTTGTAGCAATTGGAAGATTATCATAAAAAATCAGTACTGTTGAATGTTGTTCACCAAAATATGTAACATAAATTCCTATTGTATTATCTTTACCATATGGACGTCCAAGTGTATTTGCATGAGCTTTCCATGATGTATAAATTCGTCCTGTATGACTATGATAACCAAGAGAATTATTATATAATCCTATATTCGATTATAAGAATTGATTATAATAATAAATAATAGATTTCACCTGAATGTTTATCAATATCTAAAGGTGCAATACCAATAGATAATATTGCATTTGGATCTAAAGTTTGTTTGTTTTTTAAATATTATAGACTATCGAATTATCTTACCATATCTTTGAACTTTGATAACAAAATATGGTGTTTTAGATGTAAGTGGTTGAAGTGTTTGAATGATAGCAATCTTATTAAAATTTGTTGCTTTTCTATTTCCATAAGATATATCAACTGTTTTATTTTTTCTTATTTCATCTATCGCTAATGATTTATTTTTTATGATTATATCACCAATAATACGATAACATGTATCCGTATTCATTATTATAAGTAATTTTTTTTTTGAAAGAATATAAAATAAAAATTTGTACTTTTGTAAATAGATTTGATATCTCAAAACGAAGATGACAAACATTGAGCTTTATTGGTTACAGCTAAAATTATTGAACAAAAAGAGATGTCGTTCGAAACGAAAATAATGACTTTATAATAAGCTTTTATTTCATTATTGATCGGAGAAGCTATTTCAAAACAATAATATTATTATTACATTTATAAAGAAATCATAGATCTATAGAATAAAAGTTAAATCCAGAGGCTAATTTCGACAATACTAAGTAAATATAATCCATATTAAAATTATTTATTTTTACCAAACATCTCGCATGAGATTTTATTACTTTGATATATATATATTCTATTAGTATTTTTTTATTCTTCACTCTAAATGATTGATTAACCATCTATATACAAACATCACGCAATAGACTCTTTCAATTGTCATCGTATTTGTTCATTTCCGTGCTCACGAACTAGAAGAATAATTATTTTGAATATTAATATATTATCTAAAAATAATTTTAGAATAGTTTATTCAAAAGTTGATTTATATAGAATTATTAATAAAAATAAAAGAGAAATAATATATTAAACAAACATTTTTTTTTATAATCAGTGAAGTATGAATAGCATGTTAGCAATAGAATAGATAAACATAGCGATGAAATTAATGTGTTATACATAACATATGAAATAGCTTGGATAGTAGTATTTAATAAATAAGCCACGGGATAGATGAGTACATAAAAACGTTTATTGATCGTAGTCGATCATCAACATGAATGGACGTACTTAGAATTCTTATGTACACTATGTACCAACAACAAAACGGCATTAATGTATGTATTGGTAGTAATTTGTATTATCAATAAATAAAATATCTGCGTCACGTATTATTCATAGGATTAACTCGATATCCAAAGAACCAACCATTGATGAAAATGAATCAATATAAATAGTTGTTGTTTAATTATTGATATATATATATATATATATTTAGTAATTTTTGAAGAGTATACGGATGTTGTTGAATATTGTTTGTTAATCAACTGTTTTAATACAAAAAATACTCATGTCTGTTAATAGAGATCATATTGACATAGATATAATTATATACAATATCATCATGCATGATCTCGCTTTTGATCTTGCTAATTTCTATTTAAACAAGAACTGCATTGTTAATATGATTCAATGAAGAACGATGCGAAGATATTGATAATGGTTGTGTGAGACCAAATTTTCCTAATACACGCATCCAACAGTTATGACAAGCATTTTCACGATAATAATTTGCATAGAGTAATACGAACATAACGGTACACATAAATAAAATACCGCCAACATACCATGAATCAAATGGATTTGTCACATAATAGTCTCGTTTTGGTTGTATAGTTATTGCTGTTGTTGATAGTGTACTATTATTAAACATACTCGATATATTCATATAACATTTATATGTATATGAATTTCAAAGTAATGACTTGCAATCGTTTGTAAACTGAATAAAAGTATAAAAAAAAGGAGGAAGAATGACAACAGGTCGTTATAACACTATTTATCTTTCTTTCTATACTCGTTCTTTATTCTCGTTGATTAACATAGAAGTCGTAGAATAGACATATAGAGCTTTCATATTTTTATTGTATTAGAAGAAGAAGAAAAAAAAATAGGAGTACTACTCTTCATTTCCATGCATATTCATTAGATTAACGATGAATAAATAAAAATCTAATGAAACACTAAA